TCCCATGCTACTCCAAGTACACATAAGTACACTTTGTTCAAAGCTAAGCCGAGGCTTTACACAATTGGTCAAGGCAGATGCGCATGTGGACGGGATCACCAACGACGTCAGCATCCACCAACGATTGGAGCATGCACGCGCCAAGCTAGAGTCGTCACGCAACAACTCCGCCATGAGAAAAGTCGAGCACCTTCTCAAAATGATCATGGGCAAAGACGAAGAGGACTTTGCGCGCTTGATTTTGCCGGCCCTGGCCGCGCTTTCTATGGCTTTCTTGTCCGAAGTATCAGCTGTGTGGACTGATGTCAATGTCAATAATCAGATAGCCCGACCAAGATAAAAGCCTATCCGAAGCGACTGAACATGCGGTTGTGACATGTTGCGTTTGTCACTTCGGTTGTCCAGGAGGGAAGCAAGTTGTGCATGGTTGTGCAGACATAGCAGGAGCTCAAGAGTACAGGACGTCAAATTTGCATTTGCCAGGACCAAGCAGGAAACGGTGAGCTTCGGTGGCTAATGTTTGAAGCCACTGTCTCTCGACTGCCTTGATGAAATTGCCATTGGAAGCAAGTTCTCTTGTCTCCAACAGCTTCTATTATTCTACTAATGACTGTAGGGGTTCTAACAATTGCAAAAGAAAGTATTGTGATCAGAGTGGACGGGAACCTGCTGGGATAATGGTGCATGTTGTCTCCTCTGATGTTTCCACCTGTCTCTCCTCTTGTCAACCTCTTGTCCGGAGTAAACACCCCTCCCTGCCTGTCTCCACTCCTGGCTGCCTTCTTGTCTACCCTACGCCATGTCTGCTCTTCTTTCTTGTCTCTCTTCTTGTCTACCGATTGTCCCCTCTGCTGTCTCCCTTCTCGTCTCCATCCTGGGCACCCTTCTGGTCTCCTTCTTTGCTTTGGGAACCAGAGCCTGGCGGACGTGCCCTCTTCGTTCCCCCTCTTCGTTCCCCTTCGTTCCCCCTCTTCGTTCCCCTCTTATCTCCTTTTTGTTGGGGTTCTGAAGTTAGTCTACTGCAAGTAAGGGTTGCCGACATTCTGCATTCTGGCGGCTGTTCTGGGGTTCCTGGTCCAAGGAGAGGTTCCCAGGCAGAAGAATCCCCGCAGGAACGGTCTAGGGGCCCGGGTCTTCGGGGGGCGGGTTCCAGGGTCCCTCCCAGCCTTTCGTGGTCTCTGTGGCACAGCCTGGCACCTCGTGGCATCGGTTCTAGACGCCTTTCGGCTGGAAGCCGAGGCGAATGTGAAGAGTGCGATAGAGTGCGGCATTCTCTACAGTTTCCTTCATATTGCATTGCACTCTCAATCTCAAGCTTTTCTCTCTCGCTCCCACTCCCTCACTGGGAACATGTTTGGAGAGCTCAGGCTGCGTTCTTCATCGCAGCAATCGCCTGAGAACTCGTAAGATTTCGTACCTGGTTGATTGCAACAAGCCAGAGCAAGTGACACACGATGTTGCCGCATCAGTTTCTGGACTATTGATAAGTCTCAGGCTGCAATGTAGTGCCAAGACCAGCCCTGTCGGTGACCCCCCTGTCGGTGACCCCATGTGAGCCTGGAGTGCCCGGCGAGATCCCGGGGATTTTCAGGGTGTTCAGGGTTCGGAATTTGGGGCTGGGTTTGGACCATTGGAACCAGGAACGGCGCGACGGCACAGGTAGGTGTACAGTTTCGCTGCCAGCCTGGAGCGGCACAATGGCGCAAGGCCGCAGAACCCAATTGCGAAATTGCGAGACTGCACTTTCCCCTGCGCTGCTGTGTTCACATGTGGCGTTGGCACACTCGCAAAAGAGGAATGTCCAAGTCCGTCTCTCAACAGTTGCGTACTGGTGACAGGGATGGATAGCCCTCCCACCCCAACCTGCTGGAAAGCAGTGTATATTTGTGGCACTCAGCTAGTGTGGCCTTAATCGCATGCAGCGGAGTTGGCGAATGTTCCAAGTGTTCCAAGTGTAAGCAATGCACCTGAGTGGTACCTACAAGTCCAACATTACCAACTCCACAGGTCAACTCCATCTTGCTCGGCTTGGAAGTGCAGTACACCTCCTCCAACCTTGAGTCCAATCTTTCATTTATGGTTGGCAGTGTTCTTTTCGGCGCGTGGTTCATTTTTGAGGTGCTCGTCCGGATGTGCCACGCTGGCCCACTTCAATTTTTCATAAATGAAAGCCGCTGGTGGAACATTTGCGACCTTTTCTTGATGGGCGTGAGCATACTGGACATTTGTCTCCTTTTACTTGTCGGAGCTTCCACGTCTTTGTCAAGTCTCAAAATATTGAAGATGATTCGAGTATTTCGGTTGTTCAGAGTTTTCAGGTTCTTCCAGCAGCTTGCTACGTTGGCGCTCATGGTTGCAGAGTCTGTGAAGCAGCTCATGTGGGCGCTGTCCATGTTTGTCCTTATCATGTACATATTTGCGATTACATTGACTAGTTCGTGCACAGATTGGTTGAAGCAGCAGATCGACTTCAGCAAGCCAGACTGGGAATCGGACATTGCAGGTTCAAGCCAGCCTGGCGTTCGCGAGGTCCATCACTTCTTTGGCAGCGTTCCACGCAGCGGATACACGCTCTTTCAAACAACCCTGGGAGGAATCAGTTGGCATGAGGTCACGGATGCGCTTCTGTTCGTTGATGTCGTCTCCTTCTCCTTAATGTTCGCCTACCTGGTTTTTACAATACTCGCTTTGCTGAACGTTTTCACAGGCCGAACTTACTGTCGATTGTCCTGAGAAGTGTGATTCTACGGTTGCCTGGTTCCTGCAACCTGCGCAGGCGTCTTTGTGGACAATGCTGTCCAAAACTCAAAAAAACAGCGTCAGATCCAGATCGAAGCTCTTCTGCGATAAGCATTCCGCTGCGCAGCTCTATGTATCTTGAGTTGAGGGCCCTGGGGTTTAAGTTGAACAGACATTCACCCTAAGCCGACATCAGAGGGGACTTTATTGAACAGTCGACTCTCCACCAGAACCTGCTCCTGTGCTGAAATGTGGGTTATTTGCTTATTGCTTGACGTCTTGTGTACACCCTTCGAAGGGAGGGTGGGGGTCCGGACAGATTCAGGGCTTGGGTTTGAGATTCTTTGAGATTCTGGAGTTGTAGATTGCCGCCGTGCCGAAGTTGGATTTCCAGGCACGGCTTAACACCGGGCATGTCGGCATGGCCTGCCCCACGCCTGCTGGAAAATATGTAACCCAGGCGGGGGATAGCAAGTTGCCACATTGGACCCTTCAAATCATGACGGCGGTTTCCTGAACAATAATGTTCATGCATGTTCACGCGCGGCCAGTGCCAACCCTTGGGGCTTTCAAGATTCTTTCAAAGGTACGAAATGGTACGCTGCGGTGTGTTGCTAGAAGAAACCTATTGCTCGCTCATGGGAGAGCTCAGGAAGAGACGCTGGAGAAGAAACGTATGGGGCTGGATCAGATCATCGAGTTTTTTGTGGCTACAGACCTCGATGGTCAAAACCTCAGCGTGTCTTCCCCCATTGGCCTGACTTGCGTAACTGCATAACCCGTCTTGCATGGACTCTTAAAGCGCATTGACGCCCAGGCGATGGAACGATCAGCCTGCATGAAATCCATGAGCTCTTGCAAGACCCCGTGATGAACGTACCCTGAATGGATGGTGCGTCCTCTGCGGTGTGTGCAGGTTGACTTTTCTTGCTCATATCGTGATCCGAGTAGAGATGAGGTCGCAGCTGACACACACACACACACACACACGCACACACACTCGGATACACAAGTTGATATGACTAAAGAGATGTGGGGGCAAAACTTGCCATGGCTTGCCAGATCGCTTGCAAGAGGCCTACTTCGACATCATCGGCTTCCGACCCGGAGATGCCCAGATGTTGGCCGACTTGCTCGATCGCGACGGATCAGGCGCCCCGCTTCGGCTTCGGCTTTTGTTAAATCCTGTAAATTTCATCAGGCTGTCTCAGAGACTCTGCCATCGCCAGGTGGCATTACGTTGAACGAGTTCATCAATGGCTGTGAGCGGATGAAAGGCCAGGCAAAGGGAATTGATGTGCATTTGCTGCTGCTCGAGTGTCAGCATCTGCATGAAAAGTTGGACAAGTTGGATGCTTTCACTCGTGGTGTTCCCTACCAAGCCTCGGCAAAGCGGGACTGCCTTGCATGATTGAAGAACTTCGAAGAATGCAAAGCTAAAAACATGCTTCAAAGGAAGCTTCACATCAGGCTTCGAAGAAGCTTATTCGGGCATGCGTGGCCAAGCATTGGTTGCATGTTTGGTGCAATTTGGCACAGTGTGCTGCTCTCGGCGCCACTTTGCCTCGCTGTTATTGGAAGTCCTTTGGACCTGTTGGGACCTGTTGATAGCCTCGGTCTTGGTTTCTGCAGAGTTTGGTTAGACGGAAGGATATCGGGTACCTTTGCAACCTGCAAGCCTGCTAAGCTCAGCGGAGCAGAAGCCCGACCTTCGAGGCGTGTGACTGGTGTCAGGCGGTGTCAGCTGAAGCTGCATCGCTCTCGAGAGCACAGCACCTCTCTATGTGAGCGAAGGTCCAAAGAGAGCTTCAAGACTGGGAGGTTAAGCTCCTTGTGCCCATGTGCTCCGAGAGGGGTATCCGGGCATCACAAAGGGCACTTCATCCGACTTGGCTCAAGCTTGTTGCTGCCTTACAAATTGGGCACAGGTGAGTGATGGAAGGCCAAGGCTTTAAGTTTGCTTGGCTTCTGGCTTCTGGCTTCTGGCATTGTATCCGTTTTGCGTTCAGGTGCATTCGTGACCAATGTGGCACCGCGCTGTCGGCAGACGTCAGCTGCAAGTCGTCAGTCTGGAGCTCGACGCTTCAATTTTGCAAGAGAGCCATCGCAGTGAAAGCAGTAAGTAAGGCTACTAAGGTTGTGTCAGCGAGTTGGTATCGCAGATGTTCGGCATCCACATCATCCTGGTGGCCGCAGCATGGAATCTTGGAATAATCTTGGAGGTTAAAGTTCATTAGTCTTTGGCTATGTCAGCGTCTGTAGACCAGTTGTGCATTCAATCATGTTTCCTTCCTGGTGTATCTTCAGCCCAAGGCCCAGCTGAACATGCAGCATACCGTAAATATCCCAACAAAAGGAAGCAGCCTAGTAGTGATTTCTAAACCAAGCGACGTTCTTTTTTCCCTTGTTGTGCATTGAGACAACAGATCTGAGGGTTGGTTTTGTGCAGTGGATCTTCTATTAAACAGACGCCCCACCCGGTGCATCAGACTCTGAGATCATGGCAAGCCCCGCGCGGATCTTGATCTGGCAGGCCACAGTTTCCACAATCGCGACAGTCGCGGCAGTGTGTCAGTTGAGTCGAAGAAGGCCCCGTTCGTTCTGCTACACGTTCCTTGGGAATTCGTTGGTGTTTTCTATTAGTGTTTTGGCAGGTCACGAACCGCCTTCGTGCAAGACCCAGCGTCCTCTCCTGCGCTGATTGTAGTTTCTGGCGGCAGTTTGACGTTGCAGAGTAATGCTAGGCTGGTGGTTCACTCCGGCGGGTGTGCGCCAGTGAGTTGACAAGTGGCTTACAGCATTTTACAAGACTGTAATTGTTCATTGAGTGGGAGCTGTTAGTGTTCCCGTGGCTTGAGCAACTCCGTTGCAGATCGAGCTTCAAAGCTACAGCGTAGAGGACTTCAAACAGGTGCCTCAGAGAGCAGCTTAGTGCGCCTTGCAGTGGTGATTTCGATTTCAGCACTCACGTTTGCTTGTATTTTCTTCTGGCAGGAATTGTGGGCTTACCCAACGTTGGCAAAAGCACCCTCTTCAATGCGTTGTGCGATACTGGCGAGGTGCTGCACACAGCAAGATTTCAGACTGCGGGATGTTGAGGAAGGTTGTCTGATTTGTTCTTCGGGCTATCTCATGCACCAGAACGCTGTACAAAGCAAACGCGGCAAACTGTTACTCAGCGCTGAAGCTTTTTTTTTCCCACCGAAATGTTGCTACGGCGCATGGAATGTATCTCATGTACGCCTCCCTTAGATTCGCTAGAAGGGGGGTGGCCTCTTACGTGGGTCCGTGAGGCGCTGCAAACTAATCCGAAGTCTTGTGACAGAGTCTTGACGCATCTGCCACCAGACACAACGCAGCACAATGCCAGGCCATGGCAGACCTGTATGGCTTGTGTGACTCAGCTCCAGCTCTCCATAGCAGCGCAACATGGCGTAGCATCCGGCTGCCAAGTCAAACAAGACTTACGGATGTTTACGGCCTCCATGTCTCGGTGGTAGCTTTATCTCACATCGCTTGGTAGAAGCACCCGCACTTTGGGGAATCGCACCTAGGGCAATTTGGCCGCGTCTCAAAGATGACCGCTTTGTGAGTACTGAGCCCTCATGCTTTGACACTGATATGCAGCGTCCTCGTTGGCGTTTCGCATGGTACATGCATTTATTGATTTGCATTCCGACCAGCGATTCTCTCCAGCAGTGCCGCATTGGGCGATGTGTTTTTGTCAGCTGATGTTAAATTCACTCCTTGTAGGGCGTTGGTGTGCTCCAACGCCCGTTGGCCCTGCACTAACTCTTGGGGATTGGGGATTGTTCACCCCCGAGCTTCCTGCTCCTCTTTTTAGGTGGTCGACGGCTGTCCGCTTCCTTCTGCGTCCGCGGTGCCTCTGCGTTGTAGCTTCTCCAGAGGTAACAGGAGGTTCTGGCGGGATGTTCAGTGACACCATCAGCATCGCATGCACAGGCCTGTCATGAGGTATCCGGAGGTTCAGGTTGCTTCTTGTCGCCTTGTACTCAGCAAATTTGAGCAATACGCAGGTGGGCTTTCGCGCTGCCAGGAATGTGTGGGTGAGCCCAACGTGGCAATGCGTGAATCCTCCTGGTGTTTTTCGTCACCCTTTGCCTTTGGGCGGAGTGGTTTGAGGAGGACAGCGCCTCTCTCTGGCTGCCGGAGGCAGCTTCTGCAAAGACTCCTCTCCTCGGCGTATGGATCTGGCAAGGCACTCTGCCTCCGCTGCATCTTCGGGGGATAGCCCCCGGGCGTCTCCGAACGGAGCATGCAGGCAAACTCGGCCACTCGATCCTAAAGCCGCATGTGCCCGCACACTCAGCTGCATCCGACCATGACCAACAAGGGTCTCAGAACTGCGAGGATCCAGGCGTGATGAAGAGGTGATGAAGAGGAGAAGCTGGGGGGTGCCACAAATGCAGGTCGCCATGCTTTGACGCACGGTCAATTACAAGCATGCAGAGATATGCAGAGCCGAATCTTGAGACACGAGTTGCTCACCTTTGTAGAGCCCTAAGCAGGTCCTAAGCAGCAAAAGCTTATGCAATCAGTCTGGCCATTGCAATCATGTGGCAGAGGCGGAAGCGGGCAACTTCCCATTCTGCACCATCGATCCCAACATGGGGAAGGCCAAGGCAAGCATCCGAAAGAGGGGGAGGAAGAATCCAAAGAAGCAAAATGCAATGCACTTTCTACTCACAAAATATGCATCATGTTCACAATGCTCTCTGCGCAATGAATGCGACTCAGCTGTTTGGGCTTCGACTAATTAGGGCTGTTTCTCCTCCCCGCGGTCGGAAACCGGCCACAGCCATCGCAGCCACAGACAGGCCCTCAGAATAGGCTTTGATGGCTTTTGTGTGCACGAGTAAGCGGTTTTTTGCAGTTATGCCAGGTATGAGCTATGACAGTTATGCCTCGCGTCATGCAACGCATCAGGATCTGAATAGCCGGCAGCCAGCCACGTTTTCACAGCTTCATGGGGTGCGTCGAGTACTCAACAGCTTGAGCTGTATCTGACAACATGATTTCGCATGTCTCCGCATGTGGTCGCCTGTCGAGCTTCCAGAGGTTGCCAGTACCGTCGAGACCAGTGAGCGCTCTCCTCAGTCTGAATTGTGTGGAGTTGAACAGCATTGAATCGGCATTGAACAGCCTTTATACCATTGTGGCATCCGCCATGTACCCTTCCTCCAAGGCCAGAGAGCTCACCAAAAAACGGTAAAGGAGCAAGCCAGTCAGCACAAAACCCTGGCAGGACACTTCCTTGCCTGCTCATGGGTGATCTGTCAGCGATCTGTCTAGTTCTGCCTTGATTGTCTTGTTCTTCCAGCCCTCCCACACGTCGAACGGCAAGACTCGTGTGAGCTTCTTCAGGACGCTGCTCACGAGTTCTGCAAACTCTCCAAAGGACGCTGAGGCACTCGCGCGGGCATCGCAGGTGAAGTTTTTCAGTTGAGGTGAGCATGCAGAGTGAGGCAGAACAAACATCGCCGACCGGGCTCAGGTTCCTGTGCTTTGACAATTTGAAGCCAATCAAGCCAATCAAGCAACGTGTTGCAAAATCTTTCAACGAGTTGTCAAGTGTTTTCGACCTCAGGAACTCGAGACCTGGCAGCCTTTTCCCAAACGAGGCTCCCGTGACTCGGGACTGACATGACTTCAAGTGCCGATGTTCCGCATTGTCTCAGGAAGTCAGCTCACCCGTCTCACCGGGCAAGTCCATCTTGAGAAGCAAGAGCTTGCAGGGCCTCAGCAGCAAGGCTCCTCTCGCGGTCGCAGAGGCAGAACATGGCAGAGCACATGTAGACTAAGATTGTAAGAGGAGACCGGCCGACGAGCTACCTTTGATACTTCTTCATTGCAAGAAGAGGCGCCCTACTTTCGGCCTTCTTGACGTCTGAGATTCTGACGCGTTGGTACTGTAGTTGTGCCTTTGAGAAAGATGGTTTCTGTCATTCGTGTAGACTGTAGAGCAGGAGATGGCATATGCTCGCAGTGCTTAACTCAGCAGGGTCGGCTGTATGACAACATTGCTCAACATCGTTTTCTGGACACTTTCATGTCGTGCTGAGGTGTGAAGCGACGGGTAACTTTCGGACAAGCTGAAGCACGTGAGTACCGCGTGCAGGTGGGCTTCTTTTCTCGCTATATCATGTAGCCCTGGACAGAAGCATGCCGAAAGCAGAAACTGTGGGCAACTGAAGCTGCGGCCCATGTTTCCTTGTTTCCGCAAATGGAAGTCACCCTCAAAACTTGTTTGTTTGTGCGAGGCCTTGCGAGGCCCCAACCACGGACAAAACCTGATAGGGCCCACTGCCCACAAAGCCGAATGCAGACACGCATCGCTTACACGGCGAAATTCGGCGAACGAAACATATACGTTGCGTGACACGATTTGTCCATTTATTTCTCTGTTTAGCTGCAGGATGGGTCCAAAAGCAAGGAGCACTGTCTAAGCCTGACCTCCGAGGCCCCATATAGGTGCTCCCAGTGGTGGCAGCGGAAGCAAGCAAGAATAAAGAAGAAGACGAAGGACAACAAGAAGAAGAAGAAGAAGAAGGAGAAGAAGAAGGAGAAGAAGACGAAGAAGAAGAAGGAGAAGAAGAAGGAGAAGAAGAAGAAGAAGACCTGAGGGGTGTGAGATTTGTTCAAGAAGAAGAGGAAGATCACTCCTGTGATGGCAGATGACACAGTCGCGGAGTTTCTGACGGCTTGCTTTGCTCCGCAGCGACGGCAAGCTGCACTGAGCTTCCGGAATCAACAGTGCTGTAGATGGTAACATCGGTAGCGTTGGTCCTGCAGTTAAGACAGTTGCTGTGAGCGTTGTAAACGCGAACACCGCACCAGTCGGGTTCAGAATGTGAGAGCTTTGCTAGATCCCTCGTGATTGTCCAAGAAGCATCAACTCACAGGATGCAATGCTCAAACACTTGAAGTCTCAGAAGGTCTAATGGTATCGTAGGCCAGTTTGAGCTCAAGCCTTGCAGCTGTCTCATTGCAAAGCAATTGGACACGCTGCAGCCACTGCCCTTGGAAACGATGGCTGGCCAAGATTCTTGTTACATTAAGTCGTCTTATGTCGTCTTGGTATCTATGAGTTACATGGTGTTACATTGAGTCGTCTTGGTACCCATGAGTTACATGAGTTACTGCTTGGCTTATCGTTCCACGAGAAAGTGTGACCGCCTCGCGAAAGTGTCTGAAAGCGGACGTAGACCCACTTCGAGTGGCCGTAGTAAAAGGCTTTTTCCCAAAGTCGCAGAAGCCGCTTGTGCACTTCTGTACATGTCCGCTTGCAAGTACTCCGCAAGTACTCCGCAAGTACTCCGCAAGTACTCCGGTTCCTCCAGGTCCCAGACGAGCGGTTGGACAAGCTGGCCTCCCTCGCCAACTCCGAGAAGGTGATCAACGAGGTCAGCCCTCTGGCGTACCTGTTCCCACAAAGACAAAGAAAAGGCAGAAAAGGCAATGCACAGCCCTTTCAAACTTTCAACTTGAGAAGCCCTCTGCAGATGATCGAGTACGTTGACATTGCTGGACTTGTGAGGCACTGCTGAATGAGTGGCTTTTGCAGGTGTAAGACTCTCCTGGAGCTTCGCCAGGGGTGCTTCCAAAGGAGAGGGCCTGGGCAACCAGTTCCTGGGAAACATCCGCAACGTAGGCCATGCCTATACCTTCCTACAGTACTTGAGATATAACATGCCCACGCTTCCCAGCGGCCATGTACGTGATTGGACATGCATGCCAAGCGCCCATCGTGTGCAGATGCAATTGTGCACGTTATTCGATGCTTTGATGACGAGAATGTTGGGACCTTAGTGGATGCAGTGTCAATTTGATATTGTCGGGCGAATGTGACATGCGCTCCGCCTATGCACCTATTTGGCCAATGAAGCTGGCAGGAATTACATAGTTCGCCACTTCGCGCCATCGCATTTATGCCTATGCAGCGCAGGTGACTCATGTCGATGGCAGCGTAGACCCCGTTCGCGCAGCCAGTCCAAAGAAGCAGTGCATACGCACATTGTCGCACATTGTCGCACATTGTTTCAGAATTAATTCACTGTAATGCCCATGGAGCGGTATCGCTCCATCATTGACATTTCCAAGCTAAGGATATTGAAACCATCAGCTTGGAACTGGTCTTCGCGGATGCTGACCAGGTGCACGTAACAACTGCATGCCGAGGACATTCGGATGGACCTTTTCTCTCGCTGTGCATCCTGCCCAGTGTGAGAAGCGCCTGAAGAAGGTCGAACGTGAGGTGGTTGGCCAGGCCGCGCATGCTAGAGGCTGCTAGAGCAGCCACAAAATGCTGGAATAATTTTGTCGATGCAGGTGCAGTTCAGTTAGGTAGAAGCCGGTAGAAGCTAGCTGGCTGCTAGTGTAAGTATTGACTGTTAGCGATGGTTCGCCACGGTTAGCTGTCAGAGGACACCTACAGTCACCGAGCCACCAGGTCAAAGGTGCAAAGGAAGAAAAGGAGGTGCTGGATGGAAGGATATGGAAGGTCGGGGTTCAGGCTTGCAGAACAAGTGCTGCTTCCAGGCTTTGCAGAAGGTATTGGAAGTGCTGGAGGCGGCACTTTGCGTGAAGTTGCATCGCCTAATTGTTTCCAAATTGTTGCCGAGATATGCCGAGGAGGGCAAGCCAGCACGCGCAGCAAATCTATCAGAGAAGGAGGAGGATGCTCTGAAGGCAGTGCTGTGGCACAGCAGCTGTGCAGTGCTCATGCTCAAACCTATAACGCATGTGATGCTGTTTAAAGCTGCTTAGTACTTTTAGTGATATTTAATTTAGTGTGGTTAAATTATATTCAACATGCTATTTCATGAGATTCAGTTCTATTGGATGCTATTCAATGCCACTGTTTTGTGGTGCACGCTGGCATGTCAGGACTTGTCACTGCTTTCGATGAAGCCTGTGATTTATGCAGCAAACGTCCCGGAGGCACTTGTTGAGCCATGGCTTTGGCAGCTGTTTCGTTTGGCCGATTTGGCCGATTTGGCCAGGATGAGTTGGCAGAGGGCAATGATTATGTCAAGGCTTCATTTCTCTGTGCTGTCTTTGCCTCGAAAAGCTACGATCTTCATGGTTGTATGGCGTTGTATGGGGTGCAAGTTTTTTGTAGCAGGCCGTCCAGGACTTCGCCAAGGAGACGGGTGATCCGGTGGTTGTCGTGTCAGCTCAGGTTGAGGCCTGAAGCCATGAAGCATTTTGATGCCATGGCATGGTGAACGGGCTGTGATGGCCCTGCGTTCAGAGATGGTGGGTCGCTGTGATTCGCTGTGTAAGTCTTCGTGCGGGGAAGTTCGCAAGTAAGCCTCCAAACTTTGGCCCAATTGCAGGCTTGAGGCTGGGTGGTTTAGGGGAGACGTTCGGGAGTCGTTCGGGTCCCTGAGCGGCCGTAGCCACACTGGGGCGAAGTAGAGCCCGCGCGACGTTGGAAGAAGCTGCCAACTCAAAGCTCTAACCCCCAAGTTGGTGTTCCAACACAGACGAACCCTGATGGCGTGTCATAGAGTTTGCAGCGACAGAGCAGGTCAATGCCGAGGCAAGACATGACTGCTATAAGCAACGAAGAGAAATTTTAAAAGCAGACTCTGGAGATCTCTCAAGCATCTGCAGCCCGTGCCCTCCTTACCGACCGCGATGGTCACGACGCAATCGGCCAGGGCATGCGAGGGCTAAGCGGCTGTTTGTTCTGTGAAGGGGCCCCATGTCGGTGAGCTAGGTCCAGCCCTACTCCTAGTTTTTGAAGACCACCGCAGCAACACGATGAGTCCAGTCGAGCACAAGGGGCATACGCAGCAAGCGCAGTAGTCACCTATGAAAAGCCCGCAATCATACTGCACAGCAAATACAATGACTCAATCCTTGGACCCGTCCTGCGACCATGCCTCCCCACGCATCGTGAACGACAAAAAACTGTCCGTGCGGGCATCAAGTACTCATCAGCTACTCAACCTGGCCCTGTCTATCGCTATCTTCTGCAGATTCGGCAGGCTGAGCTGAAGTCTTTGGATGCAGAAGAAGTGCAAGACTATTTGGAGTCATTGGGGGTCAAGGACAGCAGCATTCGGAGTGACACTGGAAAAGGAATCTCTTCCAGCCTTGCCTTCACCAGGAGAGTGGCTGTGGCAGCTTGGTTCAGGCAACATACAGGCCGGGAAACTATCATCTCCTTCTGCAATTTGCATTCGAGATATTCGAGTCGCTGCTTCTCTCACAGGACGCTCGGACTTCGTACATACTTCACTTGCGGGCCGAAGGATGGGGCATTGAACCCATGGAAGATCTGATCATCTGATGATTCTTTTCTGATGCTCAGTGATGCTGCCAGCAAGGAGACGCGGGCGTGGACCATCCACGCGGGCTGGAAAGCCCCGAAGGTGCCGCTGAACCACCTTCACGGTTCGTGTGGAGATTTGTGTGGGGAGCTTTCGGTTCATTTGGTTCTGCAGCTGGGATGTTGTGAGGCCGCCGGCGTCATCCACACAGACTTTGAGAAGGGCTTCATCAAGGCCGAGCTGACATCGACTGAGATTCTGCAGGACATGTGACAATGACTGAAGTTCACTGAAGGCTGCAACAGTCAGCTACGAAGACTTCGTCGAATGTGGTTCAGAAGAGGAGACGTCTTTGCATCTCGTTGCGCTGCAACGTAGCAGGGGATAAGAAGAGCAAAGAGGGCCAAAGCGGCCAAGGCCGCAGTTGTGTGAAAAGACGCTGCAGGCGGCAAAAGACAAAGGCAAGCTTCGGATTGAAGGGAAGGAGTACGAGGCAGAAGAGCCCTCGGTTCTCTGGGAATCTTCTCTCTTCGTTCTCTTTGTTGGTTCTACCATCCCTTCCTTCTCTCTCTCTCTCTCTCGCTCTGAGAGTGGCTTTCTGTGCTCTGTGAGAGCAGCGCAGGTGCAGGAAGCGGACGTGATGCACTTCCGATTCAATTGAGAGCAAAGTCTCCGAGGGTTTGTGGTTGTGTGTTTTCGCCCTTTATAACTTCTTTAACATTTATCCAATTTTCGATTTCGATCCGGCTGGATCCTCTCTCCTTTGGGGGCTGTTGCCCGGCAGGCATCCTCTATGCCATGACCCGCTTAGCGGGACAAACTTGGCAAGCTTGGGATGAAAAGAAGGTCCTCAAGTGGCAGTTGGTTTGCCTCACATGCTGACGCACGTGACGCACGTGACGCACGTGCTGCCTGTGGGATCTACGAGGCAGCTCACCTGTCGGCACCGTGCAGCATCCTGGCACTAGATGGGACAGCACTTCTCACCCACAAGCAATGTAAGAGCCATGGTTCGCCGCAAGAAGTGCAAAACAAAACGAAGTGCAAAAAACCCATGAGGCTTACCCTTCAGCAGCCAACACCGCACGCGAGAAAGTTCCAGGCTGACGTCACGGTCTGCTCAGTCAAGAAGCAGCTCTTGAAAGGCGACAAGTGATCTGTAGATCCAGTGTAGATCCCGACGTCGCACGAACATCCGATGAGCAGTCATGTCATTGACAACGGCGATGAAGTTGTGCCCAGATGTGGTGGACCCAGATCCCAGTGTGTTCAAGCCACGCAGTTTTAGCTTGCTTTAGCTTTGTCCGTCAGAGCTTGATGTTCTGCTATATTCCAGTACAACAGGGCAGGATTTTCTACGGAAGATGGCGGAGTTCTGAGATGGAATTTCTCATTCCAACTTGCGACAATCTGGGTGCAATCTGGTGGGGCGGTTAAAGCGAATTAAGCGCACCTTTTTTTGACTTCACAACTTGCGGAAGTGCACCGCCATCAGGATATGCATGCTGGTTTTGGGAACCTCCCAGCATCTTTTTCCCTTGGAAGGAGATACATACTAGGAAGTGATGGTGGTATGTGTCTCTCCGTTTAGGAGAAGGTTGCAGACTTGGATCATGTGCAAGACGGTGTTTGCTTTGCTCGGGTGGGGGTAACGTTGCGCAGAGAGTGAGGCAGCCAAAACAGAGACCAGCAAACTTTCGCACACAGCAGGCAGCAGGTAGGGAGGTTCCGGAGTTGCATCCCTGTCTTGTGAGGCCAGTCCTGGTGACTGGAGTGAAGGCAGGAAGGATGAGTTTTGTACTGGTAGCTGCTTAGAAGAGCGACTGCCGGGCTTTTTTGTTGAAGTCTTTTTTGCCGGGATGCAGGTGATGTGGCAGACTGTCCAGGACAGGACACATATTTGAGCGGAACATTTTCTCGCGCCTGGTTTTGAACAGGACTGCCGACAAAACCTTTGCCCCCGGTGCCAAGAGGCCGTTGCTACTGTCCATAGGTTCGGTTAGTTCGGTTTCATCACACGATCTGTTCCACAAGTTGCGCTTGTTCTGGTTTTTTCACGTGCGCAAACTAGCAGGTCTCAGTGCGGCTGAACTCTGCTGCTTCTGCTTCCAGGCGGGTCGAGGTTTGACAAGTGGGTCAAACGGCCTTGCTCATAGTGCAATATGAACAATCCGGTGGTTGGAAGCAAATCCCGGGAGAGAGCCAGTTCATTCAAGAAACCGCGAACAACGTCTGCGTTTTGGCTACCCAGGTGCTGCGAGCACATTTGGAGAGCCGGACACTTATTCTGCGAGCTCTCTTGCTGAACTCTGAACTCGACAGGTCGTGACATGAATGCCGTCAGGCTTGCCACTTCCACGCTTTCCGCCTAGAGCGGATCCTGGATTCAAGGCGTTCGGGTCTTGACGCGAGTGATCTTCGTCCGACATATGGCCTTTTCGTGGAGGCCCCATTGTTCGTCACTTGGCTGAAGCAACGCCGTGCCAGGACAGCCCATGCCTCGGCTTTCTGAAGACGTCACATCTCATAACGGTGCATTTATGGGGCGCCCAACACTTCGGAACAGAGGCGCATGATTCCGAGCTGGAGCTGCGCGGCTGCATCGGATGCTTGGAGGCAAGATATGCTCAACATGTGCTTCTGTCCTCAACACAATGTGACGATTCACTTATTGAAGCAAATTGCAGCCAATCCACTTCCACAGCGGCCTCTCTGAGTATGCCATACGAAGTTCGATGAAGGACACCCTTGCCGACGCTTATGGCCTCGCATTTGCATGCAGCTCATGAGCAATGGTTTGGGAGGACCGACGGTTCCCACCGGTCAAGCTAGACGAGGCAGCGAGCATAGGATTGGAGTGGCATGTTGCGACTTGGTGTGACTGCATGAAAGAATGCATGTAACTGCTGGCGATCAACGTCTCGAAGATGCCTCCACATCCCCAGTCCTGAGCCTCCAAGTCCCCGGAACAACACGGAACGGACCAACTGGAAGCTGGCTGCGTCTCAAAAAAAAAGGAACAACAGGGACCAACAGGGAATATCACGCAACATTGCAAGTATCTGCAAGGTGCGTCGGCAATTGCTACTTTTAAATGCCTGCCGTGGTAGCGCGACGGATGCGATGCGGGAGGGGGTGGGAGGGCGGGAATCGTATGCATAGTGCTAGCATGCATTCAGAGCCTTCGCACAAGAGCTGAGAGTTGTGAGTTGGAGAAGTTGGAGAAGTTGGAGATGTTGGAGTTGACAGACTGAGAGTTGAGATGACTGACAGTTGAGAGCGCGACTTGAGAGTGACATTGAACTTGCTCGTACGTCGTGGGTAACTTGAGCTGTTGCAAGTCTCCTACTTTGGCGGCAAAACTGCGGGTTGCCACCTGGGGCGCGGGCAAAATTTGTCCGCACTCGGACTCCAAAGTTGAGGCCGGGCAGCTGTATGGGACGCAAATGGACGCAACATTCTTCGAAGCTCCGATGTGGAACTGGTTCTCCTCACAGATCAGCATCGTGGTTCAGATACATGTATCCGACAGTTCAAGGCAGGATGGACCCTGTGACAACGAAGGGCCGAAGGGTACATGTGGGACGAAGGTGGGGGCACGAACGGGTGTGGGCGCAAGGAGGAGGGGGGATGCGGGAGAGAACATTCAAGATAGCAACTTAACAACGCAAGGCAATGGAGCAGCTTGCCAGGCTGGCCCATCTGGCCCTTTGCAAGGAAACAGCAGCAAATGTTGCTTCGAATCTACAAAGGTTTCCCTTGGGTTTGTTGCAAGCGAAGTAGCCAGGGTTGCGGCAGCCAGCAGATGCTTGCAGTGTCAGCAGGCTGCTCACAATTTCGGTGCATTTGTCGTCCAGGTGACGCTTGGGTAGGGCCGGGTTGGTGGGAGCAGCCAAGAAGTCAAGAAAGCAGCGAAAAGACTGAAAAGACCCGCCCCCACCCCAAGGATGCCGATAACCCCGAAAGAAACCCCAAGACAGTTGCAGGGGGTCAAAGGGGGCCCCAGGGAGGCCCGGGATCTAGGGAAGGGGGAACGCTTCAGTTTTCAATGGCGCCTTTTGGGGTTGTTTTAGCGCCCACACGGCATCGGACTGCAGCTCTCAAGCCAAGTTGGCAGCTCTCAGAGGGGGGTGTGATGGGTTGGTGCTCCCCTTGCAAGACGTGATTAATCCGAGCATCTGTTTAATTGGTCCCCCCCCCCACCACCGCAGTAAGAAAGGCAGGGCGCCGCAATACTAAGACCATGGCAATGTATTGATTCTCTATTAAAAACAATAGGAATGTATTGAAAACAAAAGGAATGCATTGAATCTCTACTAAAACTGAATGGCAAAGTGTTGAATCTCCATTAGAAACAACAGAAACTTAGATTGAAGAGCAGAGTATTGAGTATTGTTCTCTATGAAAAACAATAACGCCCCCCCGGAAATTTAAAAGTGGTATTTCCCCATACGAAAACCCCCGTAATGGAAAGTAGTCTTGCAGCCGGATTGTCGCTCTTTAAATTTGGAGGTATGAATTAAACCATAATCAAACAGATGCTCGGATTAAGTCTTCAACAATATGGGCTTAGGACTGTTTCACGTTTTTCGGTTTGTTCTCCGAGGTACCAATGACCAAAACGCCGAGCAAGCAGTTTCAAAGCCAGGTAGAAGGTATCAAAGAGTACCTTTGAATCCTCCAGGGCCTGGCCTGAAATTGCTTTGTTGAATGGGCAAGAGTAGAGGGGATGTGTCTTAAGAAGATGTATGAGGAAGGTTCGTTTAAAGGAGGGATGTCTTAAGGATGTTTTGCAGCGGCTGCGATGCCTCAAAGCTTCCACAAGAAGCTCCCAATGGTCTGTCGGGCTTTGATCGCTCTGGGGTAAATCCATCAGAAGCTCCAAAGCCTGAAGCACTTCGTCTCGACTGAGAACAGAGAACCTTCTTTGTTCTTACCGTTTGCTCATCTCGCTCCCTTAGACCGCTAGTGTGTAAGCCCCTTGCGTTACAGCGCACATGCACGCCGACCATGTTTGGCAGTGACAGTGCTTTTGAGCATGCGTGCTGCATGCTTGCATAGCGCCTTGCATCCTGCACGAGGTTCCTTCTTTGACTTGCAGAATATCGATTTTGCACCAGTTTGAGCCTTGCGCGCATGCCTTTGATTGGCAAGTTGGTGTGTCGTTGCCCCAGTTGTCGTGTTGGCATCATCAGCCAACTGACTCAGTTTCGTCATCTTGTGAGGCATGGTGTGTTGCTCAACTTCTCGGACTCTCACGGAAGGTGCGTCGCATGAGGATCACTTTGCAGTAGCATTTGTTATAAGGTATAAGTGTACTCGTGGCCGTGTACTTTTTTTGCACGCTTTTAAACACAGTAGGCCATCAAGGCATCGTATCATTCCCGAATCAGTACTGCCGACATTTTGAAAAAGGTAGGTCACCCCAAGCTGCCCTCCTCTCCCCTGAAAACAAACCCATCATAAACTGTTCCTGGCCCCGTCTCAAGACCCATCATGTAGCCTTTAGTTGTGGCTTCAAGGATCGGATTCAGCGTACGGGTAGAGAAGAGGTGGTAAGATTCCATGATTGACAGCACCCACTTTACGAGGTGTATGCCTCCATTTCAAAAGCAGCACGCTAGTAGAAATGAACGCCCAGAAGAAGAACAGGCCAAACAGTAGCACAACAAAGCTGCCCAACATCAATTTTGCCTGGGTTTTGACACAGGCGCTTTTCCGCAACGTACTTGCCAGAGGTGGCCAAAGAGCACGGTGTGCCGCTTTCAAGATGTGTTATGAATGTTATGAGTCGTGGGTTTCATTGCCGAAGTATGATGCGATATTATGCAGTATGCGAGGTATGACTCGCGAAGTTGCCATCCGTGAGCTCGTAGCAAAGTCAGGCTATTCAGGTCCATGCAACCAGGCCCGTGGCTTGCAAATGTGCATTGACTGTGCAATGACTGCATTGACTGCATCTGCGTTCACACCTCAGATTTTGTTGGCAGGAAATTCTGGATTGCTTGGAGGTTACTCGATACCAAACGATAGCCGGCATCCAAAGAAAGTAAGGGTATGCAAGGCAATGCAAGGGTGTGTTTGCACTTTGCTTTCAACCGTTGAAAGGTGGAAAGCCTAGCTTACCGAGACATCGGTGGATTCCTTGGAACGCGTTTGACGTGACATCTTTAGGTGGTCCTGCCCACAAGAGGCCTAGTTAGGCCTTTACTTACGGAGATGGGCGATGAGCCTACTGCGATGAGTGACTGATGCTAAGGTCATGTATTGAGTTGGTAGCCGGGTCGATGTGTGCCGACCCGAATTCGCCAAAGAGGTGGCTACCTTGGAGTGTTTGCGCAAAGCAAGCACATGCAAGCAAGCAACACAGAGCGACACACGCAGCATTGCAGAGTCCCTGCGCAGCCTTCTTAATAGTGCACTTCCCGTCAGCTTTCAGCTTTCAACTTTCAACGGTGTGAGTTTGTGGGATTCGTGTGGGATTCGTGTAGGATTTGTGTGGGATTTGTGGACGAGGCGGAACATGCAAAAGGGCGCTGGCACTGTCCGCGCTCGTGTCTCAGCTGAGTCTCAGCCAAGCCCTTAAGCCAAGCCCAAGGCTCGTCACACCGCGTCACACGCAACCCGTGCAGAAAGATGCCGAAACGTACAGATGTGGGTACGCCAATCACGTGCGCGGATGAGAAAGGAATTTGGCCATGCCTTTCGCATGGGAGAAGTTGTCAACTGAAGCCGGAAATCCTTGATCAACTTTTGCAGGTTTGTTGGCGGAGCAAAGCTGTCGGCATGTAGAAGCTGGGACATGTTGACGTGTCACAGTGTTGACGTTCAGCTGTTCTTTGGTTCATCGCGGCCGTGGCTGGAAAGATCACGGTCCGGGGCTTGACACGGCAGCTTCGTGGCGCAGGAGAGTCAGTAGAGTGTACTCACAAGCGCCGCTGGACAGGGGCAATGGCGCCTGGCCAGTACTCCATGGATGCCAAGCAGCACACGACTCTTGGAGGAAGCATTGGATCAGATTGGATCAGGCCTTGGTGGGGAAAGGTCGAGATGATGTCCGATGGAGAATGTAGTTTGCTGTCCAATTCTGAGGGTAGGCTTTTCGGCGCGGGGGAACCCTCTCACATAGATTTGTGTGCCCATGCTGCGGTCAGCGATGTGCTGTCCATCAGGATGTCCCCTGTGGTGACGGGTGCGACAGTGATCGGCATGAAGTACAAAGACGGAGTCATTCTGGCGGCAGACACGCTAGCGCTTTGCTCTTAGAGTTTTCAGAGCATCTTCTGAAGACCTGGCAAGGTTTGGTCGTGCGATTGCTTAGTTTGGTTCGTCCAGCGGATTCGATGTCAGGCTTAATCTTTTTTGAGCTGAAGTGCTTAGCTCTGTCCGATGATGATGCCACGCCCAAGCTCCATGACGACTCGCGGACAAAAAATCAAGGTCGTATGGCAACGAAGCTCGATACAAAGATGTGCCTGGACCTTGGGCCCTGGGAAGGATCTCAGGAAAGGCTTTCATTCAACGTGGCCTTTGGCCCGTAACAGCCAAGGTGCCGATTGAAGAAGATTGGTGAATACACCTTGCTAGGTCATGGCCTCGAATTCAGCTTCAGATCAGAGTTGGTGAATGTTGGTGAGCTTCAGCAGCGTTTTTATCAGTTTTGGGTTCACAGAGTTGAGCATGTCACGTCAAGTTCACCGCGTAAGCTGGCAACGCCGCAGACGCACTTATGTGATCGTATTTGCGATGCGTCGTCCCTTTGATTGTGATCATGTTTTGCCCTGCAAAGCTCCCTTCGTCGTCCTACCTGGTGCTACCCAGTACTTCCTAGCTAGTACATGCAGATGCCCGCTCCCCCACACCCGTCCCTTCCCTTCCTCCCCCCCCCCCCCACTCCTCTCTGCCCCTCCCCAAAAATTTAGCTTGATTCACTACCCCCTCTCGCGTGTCGTCCAGGAATGTCGAGTCAAAAACAACATTCCGTGCCATGATGCTATTAGCATTGAGAATCGCGTCAACAAAACGAATTGCGAACACGACCTTGAACAACAAACCCCTGCTGCAAGAAGCGTACGGGGGGTTACGGGGACCACCTCTGAAGGAACAGGAATGTAAGATGTGTGTGACCAGCTCAGGTGCTGGTGGGGAGATCAGTGATTTCCAATACTTGAGCAACCTTCTGGATGAGCTGGCTGATGAGGCGATCCCCGAGGACTCTGATGATGGAGCAAAGCACAACCACGAAACTGGAAGGACTGGTTGCACGAGGACGGCTGCTCAATGGGCACAAGCCTCAAAGTGTCCAGACAGACCTCACGTGATCACGTGAGCCCTCCGGTCTTTGAGGTCCGAAGGAGTATTCTTCCTACATTGGCCGCGTTATGTACAATCGGAGAAGCAAGCATCTTGGCAGCATCTTTTTTTAATTGTAAACGCTTGCGCGCGCCGCCTCGGCAGCCGGGCCGGCAGGGCTCAAAAAGAGGTGGAGGGGTCCCAGAAAAGGGTCTGAAGGGGGTTTTCAGGGGGGGGTTCCCAGGGGGGTCCGGGGCGTCCAGGGAAGGTCAGGGGGGGTTCAACAAATTTCGTGCCCTGTATAGGAGACGCCGACAGGCGGCATCAGTTTGCAGCTCCTCCAGGGGCGTCCCACAGGGCGGGGGGGGGGGGGGGGCTGCGTCACGAAACTTGTCGGGCAAGCCGACGCGAATTTCATTGTTGAAGGACATTTGACGGGCTTACCGGTTGGCCGCAGGTTCAATCCCTTATACAATCAATTCGTGGTGGTGGGGAAGAAGCAGGACTCGTGAGTTGTGGTCGCGATTGCATGTTTGTTGGATCCATGCATCTTCTTGCCAGGATCAGGCCCCACACTTGATGTACGTGGACCATCAAGGATGCCTAGGGAACATGCAATATGTGTGGTGGCAACTTGAAAAAGAGGGGTCGCCCCAGCTGTCCAGGAACTGCTTTCGAGGAGGACTTTGTGGCAACAGGATTTGGAATGCATCTGGGAATGTCGGCTGCCTAGCGGACTTGAACTGCTTCTTTTCATCGGCACATGTTGATCCGTTCGCACTCCAGACCCCTTCTCCGCAACAACTGGCGACCTGATATGAGCCGGAACCTCATGCGGACCCTCAACCTGATCGGAACCTCTGTGTTCGGCACGCGCAAAAGCCAAGGCCTAGACGAGGCCAAGGCTTTAGTGACCAAATGTCTGGAGGTTTGCTTCTATCGTCTGCAGCTTAAAAGGTTGCCAATCACAACCTGAACTGAAAGTCAGCGTTGCGTGAAGTCTGAGGCGATTGCAAGGCATACTGCAAAATTCAGATCGGCGTTTGCACGGGCACCACGGTCGGGGACCCACTGCCTGAGATCAATTCGAAGTGCAGTTTGTCACTATTCTCAATGCTCTTTGTTTCCATGCTCAATGTGATTGCCGCGTTTCAGTGTTGGGCTGAGAAGCCCAGTTGCTCGATTACACTCCAACATCCGAGACCAACTAACTCAAGGAAAACGTTTCTCAAGTGAGATCCACCCTTGGGTTCTAGGGCTTCAGTGTTTTTTGGTCTTGAGTTTGTGAAAGCTTATGTATTAAGTTTTTGTTTCTGTTTTCGGCTTTCAGGGTTTCTTTGTTTGTTTTGATGTACTTTGTGTCTTGGGGACTTAAGTAGAGCTTGGGGTTCGCAGGGCTTGCGCTCAGATGGTTCGGGAGCCGAGAAGTTCCTCCCAAGCAGTCTGGGAGTCTGGGCATGTCTGGGCCATTAAAGAGGACCCCTGAGCACATGCGGCTCTAGCCAAGCCATGCTCTTGAACTTACAAAACGCCGCAGCGTGGTGGGGCAAAGCTGAGAAGTGTTACCTGTGTGAAGTCTTGTCTCCACAAAGGCTCCTGCTGGCAAAGCCGTCACTAGTTTGATGGACAAGTGGTTGTTTGAGACTTTTCGAACGGGCTGCTCCCGCAGAGTTTACGTTTCACATCATTATCGTGAGGGCAACCAGAACAAAAGCGTGCAAAAGATGTGAAAAGAAACCACCCATGCACGTTGGCATTCACTCTGGGTCTCTGATCTGCTGCAAGCAGCTTGCAAGCAGCTTGCAAGCAGCTTGCAACATGCTCGCACCCCACTTCTGAGGGCGGTGCCAGAACAAGACATGTGAAGGCACGTACATGCCAACAGACATGAAACAGCCGCCAAAGTCATTATCGTTTAGGGTGTCGATGGTCGTCGTTTCCTTTCTCTTGCTGCAAATGACCAAAGTGCTGCGATTACTGGGTTTCTCTTCGAATTGGCTGATTCCTGTTGCATACTTGAATCTGACTCAGAGTGGATCATCCGCATCAAAGTTGGTACCACTGACAGCGAGGTTGAAATCAGCCCTCCAACAACCATCAATCATTTCTGGGGCTGCAAGCTCAGCGATGCAAACCACAGCTGATAGAACCCTTGGTTCACGTGACTGGTCAATAAGGACACGGAGCATGGACGGAACGTCGCCTGGAGGACGGTGTCAAGATCATGTCAGCATGTCTCGGGATCGCCGAGATTGGCACGGCACTGCGGGGATGGCTTGAGGAGACAAGTGATTCCACAGGAACGTGGTGAGAGCAGCGCCTTAGTTTCTAGCACGCTGCACAGTCAGTTTCACGGAACAGCGCTCGCTCTCCCCCATTTGTTGAATGCAATCTGAGCTGCTTGTTTGCACTATGCCCTAGCCCTTTGTTTTATGTTGAAGCATGCCTACGCCTATACCCGGACTAGCACACCCGCAGCAGGCAACGCACAGGCAAGAACCAGCCGGCAAAAAAAACACACGCCACACTGTCAGGGCAGCCACTTTAGCGTGAGACTTCTGGCTGATGGACCGATTGGCAGTGACTGGCTTAAGCGGCTTAAGCCTTAAAGCAAAAAGCGTGATGCTGGACCGCCACTGCACCTATCTACGCAGTGCGAGATCCTGACAGGGTTGACCAAAGCCTTCCGAAGCTTTGCGCGTGTTCTTCTTTGTCGCTCTTAAGTCTTTTAAGAAAATGCAGAGAGGGATCATTCAGAGAAGCTCTCCTTGTAGTGTTTAAAACGCCCACGTAGGCGCGTCCACTGGTCACGCCATGGCCTTCGCTTCGGCAGAAGCTTGGAGATTCTCCCAGGTCTCATTACCCCCTACTGTGAGGGAATTTTGTCACTATGTACTCGCATAGAAGCAGTTTGCTTTGTTTGGTTTTGGTCTTCATTTCTGGGTGGCTGGGTATCATGGAAATCGGAAAGTTCGGCCGAAGACGCCTTCGTGCTCTGGCAGGTGCATCAACCGACGGCCTCTGACAGAACGGCAGCGAAAAGTCGTTGTTCCAAAAGCGCTCGTGATGGTCTCTCTATGTTTCTCTCATTGCATGCCTGAGCGCAAGGGGGCCCATCGTTTCGTGTGCAGATCCGATGCCGATCTCGAGTTCGCAAGCTCACTGTGGCGTATGGGGGGCTGTGATGCCGCCAGTGTTTCGGTTCTTGCCAGGCAAGTAGCTGCAAACTTGCAGTTCATAAAAAGACTTCGCCCCGGTTTTCTTCCAAGCCCACCCGAGTTCACCCAAACCCCGTACGCCATGGATCATTGGGCAGTACCCGCAAAATCGCAGTGATGGAGCCTCTTTGCCTTGGTGGAACATGGGATGCTGCCAATCGCATTAAGAATTAAGAGTCACTGAAGTCATATATCTCACGTTCAGCAGGCGTTCTGTGCTGCCTTGTAAAATGTTCTGACAGTCCAAGGTTGTTCCCCTGCTCGTCATCTTGCACTGACGAGTGCAGCAGCAGAGGTTACAACTCTGAGATGTTGTGGGTTTTGCGATGCGCAAAGGCATGCTTTGCTGGCTTGCTGGCTTTGCTGCAAGGAGATGGCGAATGGGTTGCTTGCTGGCCGGAATCGCAGGGCGATTCTGTGATTGAGCTGCATCCTCCTCGTGCGGCAGTGGAGCCTGAGGAGCAAGTGCTGAGTCTTAATGAGTATTATGAGTATTCGGCGCATCATGAGCAGACCTTTTTGGAAACCGAAGAGCCAGCAACAGGCAGCTAGGTCAAGTTGTACTTCACGCATCGCCGAACACAAATTGCTACTGCGCCTCAAGCCTTGACCGCTACACCGCATGCTCAATCCCTCAGCCGTCACTTCCAAAGCCCAAGCTCCAAAGCCCCCTTACACTGGGGAGAGTTGAAATGGGGACGCCTGACCCGGAGAAACGAGGTCTCGGGAATCGCGCAGAGAATCCGCAAAAAGTGCCCGCAGAAAGTGTCTCAGCTCTGCGGAGCTCTGCAGAGCTCCGCAGACTCCCCGACAATCCCCCGCAAAGAGTCCTGCAGAGTGTCCAATCATGTCCAATCCATTCCAATCCCAGAGGATCCGTACAGAGCACATATTGTTCATCTAATGTTCGAAGTAAGTGGATTAGTATATGTTTTTGCTAAATGCCGAGAGACCAGGCTCGAAAGCTTGAACCCTTAACCTGAACCTCGAAATTTATGTCTGAGGCCTTTTGTAAGCCGAACATGGTGCAACATCCAGCGTTTGTGTCGTGTGCCTCAGGAGTATCTGCAGGTATCCAATTTGCCCGCACATGGTGCCTTCGACATGGAAGATGGTGATAGGTGGTCTTAGAACCGATTCTCGATGTGTTTTTCCCGCGCTGATTTGGCAATCATATTCTGCTTGGTGCATCGGCCCGCGTCGGCACATGCACATTATCCAACCCCCGAGGTGTGCCTCCGCCTCCGCCGGACCAGAGCTGTCACAGCTTATCCCAAAGCTCAAACAAATGGGATCGCAATGATCGCAGCCTCAGCCGACAAGCCACTGCCGTTGTAGGCGCCTTGCATGTAATTGGATTCCTGGAGGGTCGCTGAGAGTTTTTCTGTTTCATAGGTTCGTTTCCATGGATAACACGTCGCGAACCCCCATGAAACCCCACAACATCCCGCGAGAACTCGTTTGGCGCAACTGCTGGGTCTAGGCTGTGGTCGGCACGGCCGGAAGGCGTGGCGTGGCGGCGTAGCGGTATCCGAGACAAGGCTAACAAAATCAAGCCACGCTGCCCTGGTTGAGGACGGCGTCCACTGGTGCATGTAGTCGATGTGCGATGTGTCTGACAGACGATAAAGAAAGGCATACGCAAAAACAAGAGAGCAGCACCAAAGGGAAAGCAAAGGGCCACCAAGGGCCAAACGGGCAAAATCGGCAGACTCCATGCTCTCCGTGCTCCATGGTGCTGCGTTCTAGATCCGCCTTTCTCGTGCCAATTCGGCCAAACTCTACACTTCTGTCACAAATTAAGCCTGGAGGCAGACCTAAAGGTTGAGGCCAACAGCATATGAGAGACTTGTCATGTCGTGAGTATGTGTGATTCGTACAGTGCGCAATGCACACCGCTACTCAGGTGCGCTTGTAATATGCTTCTGCGTGGTTTGTCTTTGACCGAAAGTCCGAGAGCTAAGGCTTCAATGAGATTGCGAAGGAGAACAGCCAAGAAGAGATCGAAGATGATGCCAACTGCTTGCCTCATATTCTTAGGCATGGTCCTTCTTGACTGTACACGAACCTTCGGAACCATGCGTCAAAGACATGGCGCTCTCACCCGGGATTGATTGGTTTGTGCAGACGATCTGATGCCATGAGCGAGCTGGACCTTTTGGCTGCAGTCGAAGAGAAGCAGGCTAACATGTCATATGCATTTCCCCTGGAAAAAAGCCTTCGATCTATGGCAGTCTAGCCCGGTACTACTTGCCAGGTGGGTGCGCGGCTTACAGCAGCATTGTCCAAGGCTTTCTCCAGGCTGACCTTGGGAAGCAGGCCCTTCGGCCCTTCTTGCAAGTTCGGATGTCTTCGAAAGTCTGCCAGACGTGGAGAACACTTGAGCACGTACAAATGGCCCTGGATGATCCTCCTGCAGTTGCCTTCGAGTGAGCAGTGCCCTTCTTGATTGCGACCGAGACAAGGTGCTGCGCGAGGCCCCGTGTCATCAGGATACCAGCTTGCCCACAATAACATGAGGGTCATTCGTACTGCTTTGCTGTGTTGAGAAGAGGTTCAAGATCAATTTTTTGGATGCTCTTTCTAGTGTCAAAACACTTGCTTCCACAAGCTTCGGTGGGTTGTCCGTACTGTGTGCTGCTTGCCGCAAACTTCTTGCATCGTGGAGTGAACCCTGTCCATCTCTGTCCATCTCTGTCCATCTCTGTCCATCTCTGCCCTCCTGCCCGTGGACTGCCTGGTCGCAGCTAAAGCTTTAACATGCGTTAATGATGTCAACCGTTGCAACGCCGTTGGTTGGTTTGGCAGACATTGGTCTGTGGCATCCTTAAACCTCTGAAGTTCCTCTGAAGGCCATCTTTGGAGACTACTTGGCAGCTGATGGGCCATTGCCTTGGTCTATGTCAATGCATGTTAATGCCATCGATGCCGGTTGGGAAGCTCCTTTGTTTTGCTCATAAACGGGATGTACTCGGGAGGTGAGGCAGGGATTGCCGTCAGTGAGCCGTCAGCACTGCCAGGTCTGTGGATGCAGCAGCTTGGTACCGACATGTGCAGAATGAGCTTCTGCCACAGCGACCTGTGAAGAGCGGTGGCACCTCGCTTTGATATTGATTGCAGTTAACAAAGCATCGCGCGTTGGCACGGCGACCATGGTTTTCAGCTGGCACTGCATTTTGTACTTGCAGTGGATCTGCACATGAACTACCTCGAGCTTTACACAGTTGTAAAGACAGGCTTATTGGGGCACAAACCTCTATCACCATGAGTGCACAACATTCACCAGGTTTGCCCATGAATCCGCCCTTGAGACCCAACCTCTGTTTCCAAGCCACTAAGAACCCAATACAATAGTATTACTGCGGTAAGTTCACGCACGCGCATTAATAATATTATAATTGGGGGTTCTTTGTGGTGAGGAAAAGGGCGTACGAAGCCAACCACAAAGTCACCCAGAAATCCCACCACTTGTCCAACCGTGTAATAAGAAGACTCATGAACTAGGTGAACACAACCACTGAAACACCCCTATCATCACGGTCTTCCTGTCAAGGCACAAACAACCTCATGACGCAGGAATCCAACATCCGGGACTTTTGGAGCTAGAACTCGTATAGTATAAGCACTAGCCCGTATACTAATGGTGAACGAAGTGCACGCGTATGCTCTCGACACCGCTTAAGGATCTCGATTCTTGCTTTGCCCTCGCGGGCAGTTAACACGATGATGTGCACTGTTGCGAACTGGGTTCTCAATGCTTGCGAATTGCACCTCATGCTCCGACCGTCGGCATCGGAGCCAGTTGTTTCAAAGATGCAGCTTCTTGATTTAAGTAGACTGCGAGCGAAAATAGCGCCGAGCCGCATCCGTGTGCGATTCCAGTCGGGACCGTTGTCATTGAGACCACAAATTGACGAGTTGAGAAATGTTGAGAATCTCCTTACACGGTGCAGTTGTCCTGTGGAGCGGACACCCTTGGAGCTCCACGAAAAGGTTGCGGGTGCGCTTCATACCTTGCGGGACGCTATCTTCTCGGGAATACATCGGCGAGCTCGCCATCTGTTTGTTCGGTCACGTTTGTGTCTTTGCTTTTTGGTTTTTTAACTTCTTGTGCTGCTCTGCAGGCTGCTGAATTCAATCGCTTCTCTTGTCCTTCTCTTCATTGCTCTGCCATCTCTGCCTTGTCGCGCGCTGAAGTCTTGCGCACCTCGTTGTTGTTGCACTTTCCCTCAGACCCCCCTCTTCCTCTCGTACTTTCCTCGTGCGCGTCTCGTACTTTTCTTGCGCTCTGTGCGGAGACCTGGGAGTTGGTGTGTCTGCTCAGGACACAGCAAAGCCTGCAGCAAAGTTTGACTGCTTTCAGCTTGCTTTCAACTCTCTCCTCCGCGGGCTAAGATCTCCCCACGCGCAACGCGCGAGAGAAAAAAGCGCTGCGCAGAAAAAACAAGTTGTAGAAGGGCTCTTCCCGCTTGGAGTGTGGCCTGTGAGGCGCTTCAGGCTTGAGGCCAATGTGTTATAGAAACTCCGCATCTCTCTGCCATGTTTTGAGGTTTTCCCAAAAACATCTCGGATGTTGGGTTCTCGCGTAGGTTCAAAACGCGAGAGAGCGATGCCGGGGAATGGCGCGGGGGTGAAAACGAAACGGGGATGAAAACCAAGCAGGGATGAGAACGAAACGGGGGATCAGAACCGCGGGATGAGAGCGAAACGGGGTTGAAACGAAACGGGGATGAAGACGAAACGGGGATGGCGCGGGGATCACAACGGCGGAGCGAAAACGAAACGGGAAAAAACGCGACGTGGATGGCTCCTGCAGGGATGAAACGAAGCGGGGATGAAAACGAAACAGGATGAAAACATAATGGGGATGAAAACGAAGCGGGGATGGAGGACAGAGCTGGAGTGGCGCGAGAGCGGACTGCCACGCGTACTGCGGCGCGTCTGCGGAGCAGGAAGCTGGGGGATGACGCACGAAGAAAACACGATACCGCCATTGCACAGTCTACTCTTAATGCTTTTTACATATATGATGAGTTCTGGACCGGGTACAACCAAAGCCAACACACAATCTCAGTCTACATACTCTTCCGACAGACACGCCGTAACATGAGGTTTTTCGCGTCAACTAATCAACTACCCTGCGTCGCCTTATTGTCTTCTTGTACTCTTCTACAAAATGTGCACACGGAATGGATGTTAAAGTGGGGGTTTTCACTCCGGCACTGTTTTCATTCGGATTGTTTTTGGGTTCCTGGCTTGACCTTGTTTTTGAGGTTTGGGGGGTCTTGTAAAACTTTTGATGGAGACGGATGGGTTCTTCACGGTTCGTTGCAGACACTGTGCGGCTGGTGGAAAAGATGCAAAGCGGGTTGTGTGCTGGACAAGCTTTACGGTAGAGTTCAGACTTGGTGGAGCCGTTGTTGCTGTCGGTTCCACAGTGGTTCCACTACATGTACTCGCCGTTTGAACTGATCTGTGCGTCTTTGGCGATCCAGGAACATCTGCGACGATGTTGCGGCAGCGACAGGACCTTTTGAAGGACGTTCTGGAGGACACGTGGGCTTCGCGAGACAGGTCAATTGAGATGTCACAAAGCACGAGCACAGGTACACATATCATCCTCTCAATCTTGCGAGCCTGGGTGATTTTTCGGCTTGGTGGGCCGGGCACTGCGGCAAACTGAAGGGTCTGTTGGGATATTCTCGGGTTTTTTGCGAAGCTTGTAGTTTTGCACGCGAAACGCCAAGAAACTTCCAATCTCATGAGGGTATAATTCCAACAGAAGATGTATAGAATCGCCAAGAGTGGTCAACAACAAAGATAGAATAACATAAGCTATAAAGAATCAGTACAATTGTGAAAACCTTACGGAAGAGTTACGAAGATAAGAGAAGAACGAAGGATGGTGATTAAAGATATGTCAGATATGGTAAGGCATGTAATGTAACCAGGAGCAAAGAACTGTATGAATAACTGAACAAAGAGAGGTTGTACAATGATAAGTGAAATCTATTCTCACAGGCGAACGAAATGAGCGTGCGATCGTAGTTTCTGGCCCCTTGATGTTCATTGGATACAGGCTGGGTTTTCTTTGGGGAAGTCATGAGCTTTCTTGTCCTTTCCCATTTCTCCATTTAACATTATTTTCCCCACCTGTCATGCAGGTGAGGTGAGGGTTATTAGATTTTTCTTATGTCAGCCCCATCTCCTCCTCCTCCTCCTCCTCGTCCTTCTCCTCCTCCTCTTCTCATCCTTCTCCTCGTCACCTCCTCTACTGCCACATTTCCACGCCATCAGTGCCATCGTGCGAGAAGCATGCTATTTAATCTTCTCGTTCATGCTGCAAAGTTGTGAGTGTGACCAATTTCAAGTTACAGAGCAAAGGCCGGTCTCTGGTGTACTTTGATCGAGATCTGATAAAGTTGGGCTTGACAAGTCTACGAAGGTTGCTTTGGCGACAGGAGATTACCCGGCTGCGTTGCCTTTGTTACCAAATATCAAAGATGCCACCCTCTGCAATGGTCCCTGCATGGTGTCAACTTGCCTCACACAATGAAATACACAACGTGATGTCTGGCTGTTTTGACATGTCATGGTGGGGATTTTTTCGAAGTAAAGTAGTTTCCTTCTTACGTTTGGTAGAAAAGGGTTGGTGCATCCGTCGGCTGTAACAACCATACTGTGCACCAATGACAGAATGGGCCTGGAGGCTGCTAGAAGTCGACGGGTTTGGGAGGCGTCAGTGGGCAGTAGCGGTCAACTACACATGCTGCGCGAGCTCCCGATGTCTCTCCCGGCTCGAGGACACAAATCTTCCACATGGCTGCGGGGAAGTCGCAGAACTTGAGCGCCCGTTGTCTGAGCAACCCGGTGCCAGTGTGATGACAGCTTTAGCTGATAGTCACAGAGTGTACGGACAGAGTGTTCATAAGTTCGGGTCGCATGCGACAATATTCCATGCGTGGAGTATTCACAAGGTGCCAAGATGTGTTGTGACCTACAAGCAGCGCAGGGAGCTAGACCCACCTTCACAAGTCTCGCACCGGAGGGAGTAGGCACACAGTATAGACGAGTCTCCGAGTAAAGTAGACTTAGCTGAGCAATTCTCTCGTCGAAGCTCTCTATTCTTGCAAGGTAAATTGCACACGTACCCGTGAATGCCAAGGTACTGGATCAATTCCAGCCACAACTCGTACTTGCAGGCTACTTGGACTTGCAATGCTCCGCAAGGCTATTTGCGTTTGCGGTCGATTCCGATGCAAATGCAAAGCAACGAGTGAAGTCAGCACCAACGTAAAGCGCTCTTGTCATGGTTCTTCTGCAGTCGAACATGCAGGGCAATCAGCTCACGAGCACATCATCTACAAACGCAATTTCGAGCCTGCTGCACAATGGCTGTCGTGTCGTGGAGCTCGACGTATCTCGCTGGGGCAATAGTCTGACTGTCTCCCGTGTGTCTCCTTCTTCCCGCATTTTAAACTTTTCCTTATTGTAGCAGACTCCAGCAAAAAGTGAACGGAGGTATACGATGGAGCAAAATACGGCATGCAAGGCCTCTGCTGTTCTTAAGGGTATCAACTCGTATGCACAAGCTCGCACTGCCCTTAAGCTGCATCAGGCCCATGTGTGCTGCACGGCGGCACCGCCACAACTGCTGTGTTGTTCGAAGCCTGCCTGGAGGTCGGGCGCAACACGCAAGGCGGCGCATTGCTCAATCGTTACAATCGTTGTCATTCTGAAAGGCGATTCGGGACGCGGCTTTCGAGACTTCCCACTGCCCAGTCATCATCACCTTGGAGAACTACTTGTCCCCGGAGGGTCAAAGGCAGCGAGTTTGAAGCCGCTCTGACCGAGCCTGCCCGAGCTTCACGCCCAAGCTTCCAGAAATTCTGCACATGATCGGCTCAACTGGATGGGATACATTGAAATCATGCTGAGAGACACACACACACACCAATCGCTCGCGTTCCATAGGTCAATGTTTTACACAGGTCCCGATTTGCGCACCACAAGTTATTTGGAGAAATTCACTTCTATGTGCCTGTATACTACTAGCCCTTCCGAATCCCGCCTAACCTAAAGACATGGAAGGACATGGACATCCCTAAGGTCCTAGCCTGTGGCCCCGAAGCACCGCAGAATCCAAACCATACTTGCATCAGCCAGCAGCAGCGCGGCATGGAGCCGCCGCAACGGCACCACATACTCCAAAGCGGCCATAAATGAGAGATGAACGAGCAGCAGACCGAAATAAATGTAACCAAGGAGAAGTGCGCTTAAAAAATAGCAAGTGCAAGACGATTGATGCATAAAGGCTGTTCCGACACAAACGCAATACCTGTCATGTCAAGATGTCGAGCGAGGTGGAAATTCTGGGCTCAAAATTCACCGACGCTAATGATTTCTTTTGCATAAGCCAAGCCACTTTTACCCTTCCAACCGCTCAACAGCTCTGCTTGTCTCCACAAACGGCATGGGATGGCTGGGGCTTGAATGGGCTTGAACAGCTTGAGCCATGTCTGCCCACTTTCCAGCCTTTGGGAACGTTCGGAGGAACTGCACTAGCTGTAGGAGACTCAGACAGGTCATGCCCAAAACAAGCGTAGCATCACGGTTCGATCTCGGCAAGGACAGTGAGGAGCCTGTGCACCTATGTGCTCGAAACCTGCGTTCTGTTTTTTGTTGGACATATCTTAATTTTGGATTCTCTTCGTTTTGCATCGACAATTGTCGATGGAAGGCTTCTTTGCAACAAGAGGCTGTCTAGCGCAGCAGTTCGCAGCGCTCGCAACCTTGTTATGTTCAGGTTGACTAAGGTTATTGCAAGATTAGATATTGTAGCTATCTTCACTGATCATACAACATCAAGCTCACACGACTTCCCTCCCCTGAGGGACTGTGCGGGTCTTCTTCAGCGAGTGCTTGGAGATGCGCTCTACGTGCACCTGTAATTCCTTGAGTCATGCTTGTGCTTGCATCAACTTGCTCGGTTCTGCTGTGGCATGTACAGGATATGTACAGGTACCTTCAGAGATGGAAGACTGGCCATCTCCAGGAGAGCTTCACGACCGCTTCCTGCTTCGAGACAAGTCCTTTGGCTGCCTTGGCCGATCCGATGGCACGACTGCCATGTCGCAAATGTCGAGTCGAACAGACTGGGGAATCATCTAAACTTCTTCGTCGGCAAAGAGTGCTTGGCCATTCTGGCGCTGTCGTAATCAATGTGAGACTCCAGCAGGCCTGGGCACATAAGGTCTTGGCGACTGGAGGAGACTTCTGCCACTTGCCTGATTCACCATACAGTTGTCGAGTTGAAGTGCTGCCCCCCCGTGATTTCCTGAAGCACCTTGCAGATCCTTGCAGTGCCCCATCCGTTTCCATCCGGTTCCATCCGTTTGCGTGCTTTAACATGCTGAGTCTCCGGAGCAGATACCGGGGCGACAACCAGTGAGGGTTGCTGAGCTTCACCAGCACCTCCTCCGCACTTGGGTTGAGAGGTGCTATGAATTGCTATGCGATGCTAAGAGCTCATCATGACGTGGCGCAGTAGTGCGTATTGTAGAAACTGAGGCTTATCTCCATTGGCAATGCTACTTGGATCATGGGATCACCACGGTTTGAGGACAAAGGCTTAGTACAGCTTGATAACTTGAAACGGGGTCAGATGATAAGACCAAGGTGAAGTTCCACAGCTTTAAGTTGAGCGCGGAGTGGGCCCGGACAAGCTCTTCCTTCTCGGAGATCAAACTTTCGCAGATTCTCTCGATGCTGGGTAGAGACCATGGACACGCCCATGGTCATGCTTTGCTATTGGAAGTTCTGCCAGCCATCTACAGCATGTGCTCAGTGTCAGTTCCGATCCTTCCAAGGAAGTTTGGTGTTCAAGTTCCTGTGCTACATTTCAGCATCTGTATGAGGGCGAGGGTTTGGATAACATGCTCTTCCTGGCGCTGCTTTACTGCTGCTTTCTTCCATTAAGGCCATGCGAAGGTATACCTCTCGGCATATTGCGCGGATATATCCTGCGGGTTATCGCGTTGACTCCTCCAACTATGACCCCCAGGACGAACTCATGTGTCCACAGGTGTCCATATGCGTCCAAATATGTGTCCATATGTGTGTCCATATGGGTGTCAATATGGGTGTCCATATGTGTGTTCATATGTGTCATGCGCGTGTCTTTCCGGGTCTGTTCGAATGACCATGGCTTCAGCAGCAGGATGCATGGGAAGCTGGATGCCAGCTTGTGGCATTGAATGGCCAGAAGAGTAGCGTGGCCCATTGGTAATGGTTCAAGTATTTGCTAGCTGATTGCTGAAGCGTGCTCGCTCTCATGGGCAGTCTGCACTGTGACTGATTCTACGCTGACGCGCACCTCCCTCGACTCAACTGCAGGGCACGTTCAGACTGGAAACCCTACTCAAATGCTGCCGCAAACCAGAACTTTGAAATCTTTCAACGCCAAAACAGCCCTTAGCAGGTTCTTAGGAAGTCTCCGAGAACACCCACAAGGCCCCCGAAATACTCTAAGGGGTTCTGTCTATGGGCTGCGGGTCCTGAAGGATGGGGTTCCGAAGGGTGGCAGAAGAGACGCGGAAGAACGAGGAAAATGCCGGAAAAGATGCGGAGGCAGGACCACGCAAGCTGGCACAACTGCACGACCCCGTCCCAGATGTGCACCAAAGGATTTCCGCCCGAGCGTGGGAAGCTGGTAGGGATGAGGGTGGGCTTGGCCTTTTAAGAGGCGCTAAAGGCATGGAGGCCACACGATGACATGTTTACTCAAAGTGTTCATGTCAGGTCATGTCGTTCTTGTGAGGTGGCTTCTTCAATCCACTTTCATGTCGCTCTCATGAGGCGTCTTCTTCCATCCACATGCAGCCTGGCTCAACGCGGGCAAATTCCGAGGTGGGCAGTCTTCGCATGCCTGTATGCATGTGTCTGTTTTGCAGCTCAACACATTATGGGAACATGTAAAGAGCAGCTCCCAACACATAGAGATATGATAATTTCAACGCTACGCGACCTGCCTCGGCCTGGCCCAGCGCAGCGCCCGGCGCATGTTCGCGGGATCCGCAGCTGCACAGGGTCACATAGGTGTCCAGGGCAGTGCACGTAGCTTGCCTCGGGCTCGGCGAGCATGGCGCGGCTGTGCTTCCACGTGCGCTCCGTCCCTTGTCCCTTGGCAGTGGCAGCGTGTCGCTCCAGGAAAACCCTCCGCCTTTGAGCGAGGGGGGGGGGGGTGGGCGGGGGGTCCGGGGGGGGGTAGGGGGTCGGGGAGTCGGTGGAACAAAGGGGAAAAGGGGGGGGGGGGGGGGCCATGGTCCTGGTGAACCGTCCGACCCCCCATTTAAGGCATGGGGGGAGGATTTGGAGGGGGGTGCCTGTTCTCACAACCTATACACCTTCGGCCCGACGCCTCGGCGGATTAGGTGTAGTTCCGGTTCAATGTTTCATGCAGCTCCATTTCTTGGCTCCCCCCATTCGCAGGGAATGGAGGATGTGGATACATTCCAAAGCCGCCTCACCTACTTGGGCGGTCCGGGAGGCCAGAACCGCACAGGCGCGCTGAAGGGGAGACAATGAAAGAATATGGACCAGTGGCAAAATGTTGCAAAGAATATGGACAGGAATACGGAAGAATATGGAAGGGCCGATGAAGGGGGTCTCACGACATCTCACAACCGTGCCTGTAAGTCGTGTTCACTGTCCTTCGCGTGTATGTTGAGTTCAGCCGCTCACAGTCGTGCATGTGTTGAGTCTTCATCTGAGTTTCATGTTCAGGAAAGTTGTTCATAGTTGTTCAGGAGCTGTTCAGGCATGTCAGACATGGTGCACACTGGCCTGGCTCAAGGTTGGCTGTCACCGTGCTTGGCGGAGATGGCTGGGAGGCCATGTTGGCACCGAGAATGTTAAAGGAACAATCGTATGCCACGAGAGGCATTTCGGGACTTCGACCTCATTGGGCCTCCAGACTCTTATGTCTGCAGGGCGCTTGGTGGCTACCTTGAAGTTGTCAACTTGAGAGCCATTCTTTAGCCATTGTCAAAGATTGACAGTCAGTTGATCAACTACTCTGAGAGGTGTCGAGATTGCGGGCACGGCCGCTGACCGCTTCTTGGCTTAAGGGCTTCCGAGCAAACGAACCCTCCCTTGAAGTCGCTACTCTTGTATCCGTTTGTATCCCGAAGGGAAGATCGAGACAACCTCGGTGTACACGGCAAGAGCTCGAACCGGCAGCAAGGCGCCTTGCAGAGATGCCTTCAGTGATTCAACAGAAGGACAAAAACTGATAAACTGTTCATTCATTTCGAAGCCGGGCTGTTGCAAGGCTCAGCCCATCTGGAAGCAGCGCTTCGAGTTTGCAGCTGGGTAAAAGTAGCTGCTGCTGCCCAATTGCTGCATCACACCATCACACCAATGCCTTTGGGCCTTTGGGCCCTGGCCGCGCGCTGTTGCTCTCCTCGTCCGACTCGCAAGGACATCACGGATGCATCGCTTGCTGTCATGATGCTTATGGCCTGGGATCAAGACGTTGACTTCGACGACCTCCTCGGCTAGAGACCTAGAATTCCTAGAATGGCCTGGAGTATGCAACATAATTCAGAGTGCAATACAGATCTCAGATGATCTCAGCATATCTCAGCATCCCGTCTCACAGGCCAGTACGCATTCCCGCTTACAGAGCTCAGACCTGGATGGCGCCGATGCTTGGACAAAGTTTAGCCACACATGGGCGTCACATGGTGTCGTGTGTGGTCAGGGTTTTTGAGATGCACTGCAGAGGTGTGCCGCTTCTCAGCAGTAGTGGCGAAGTGCAAGATGGAAACCCTGCTCTAATTTGTCGCTTCGAATTTATTTAATGCTTGTGTTCTCTTCTGTGGTGGACAGCATTGCGTTGACCACGACATCCTAAAGGCAAGGCTCAAGTCCAGCGTTCCAAAATCTTACGATTCGGTTTTGGTTGCAACGGTTGCACGCTGCAGTTGACAACCCAAGTGCTCGGGCATGGCCCAATGATGCCCAATGATGCCCAATATCAAAGCGGCGACGACGGCCACGAGCTGCTTTGTGCTTCCCCTGTAATGGCAGGGCTGGCAGGGCCCAGGGCTTTTCCTGCATGGCAGATGCCAGAAAACTGTGCCTGCTTTGTGTGCTGGCTTGCGACGTTCGCAGCCCTCTAGAATCTCTCTAGAATGCCTAATGTACACAGGTGTGCTGCAAAATGCAGCACACCTGACAGCATAGCATCCTGCCCATCAGCAGAGCCGAGGGAGATGCTCCAGCTCTCAGATTGCTCGACCTAAACATCGCAACACGTTGAAAAATGCAGCAGATGCGTGCCAGGCAGACACAGTAGTTTCGGAGGACTTGTCGTCAAGATGTAGAATCACTCCACTCGATGCGGAGACTCAACAGCTCATTCAGCTTGCCAAGCAGCTTTAACTTCAGATGTTAGATGTCCAAAGCTCATGTCCAGTTGCGGAAAGGTACGACCGACGCACGACCCAAGGCACTTAAACAGTCTGGTTGACACTGTATTCGGGAATTGGTATCTGCGTCAAAAGCAGGTGCACCGGCATCGAACTGGTATTGGTTGTCGATGTCGTGTTGGTAACGGTGATGTTTCAACCATTTGATGAACTTGTCTTCTGTCGCTTCCAGTTATTTGGTCAAGCATTCTGGAGCACGCGCATGGCTCTACTTTCCAGTTTGGTGTGGGCCGTAACTTGCCTTTCACTGTGGTTCCACATCCTAGACCGGTCTGTTCGCCCGCTGCCGAGTTTCCGTCCGTTCAATCCGTTACAGTCCTCTTTCTCTCTTTAGTGACTTTCATGCGAATCACTGTCCACGGCATTCCAACTGTCCTCTGGGTCCATTCTCTGTTCTCTGTCGCGCTTACTCTGAGCCGGTGTGTGCCCAGATCCTGCCGATCTGGTCCGGCAGTCTGCACTCCATCAACATCAATCACTCCGTGCTTCGCGCTGCAGTCTGTGCCCGCTTGCCTCTAACTGATGCTTCCGCAAGGCTTCCACCTCTGCAGACTTTGTACGCCGGCGAGAGAAGTGCGCGTCTCTGCCTGCACGTCTTTGCGGAGTTCTGTTTTTCTGGCCCTTTGCAACAATCCTGCAAAATTCTCTCTCGTGGTGCGCACTTAAGGATTCCACAACCCAAGCGTTTTCTAAGCCAAACCCCCTGAGGGCCCCAATCTGTGAACCGTCGTGTCCCTAAACTCCTAAAACCCTAATCAATAGGTGATCCCCTCTGCTTACACACTTGGGCGGGTGTGCCACCAAGCATTCTCTGAACTCATGCTCTACGCCTCTCAGCAACAAAGTCTGTGTGTCAATTTACCGGCGCCCCCCCACCCCCCTGCTCCAAATCCCAGTTGAAACAAGAGCCAGGCTACAGGAGTCAAGCAGCACAGGCTATTTCTGTTGGTCGGCATTCCCTGCAGGTTTTTGTGGGCCGTCACAGGAATCCCAGCAGACCTATCCAACATGAGGGGGTGGGGGGGAACTCCTCGTGTGCCTTTTGTTGCGCACCTCTTCCTGGTCCGCGCTCCACGAGCCTATGTTTGGCGATTAGGGTACATGTTACTGCACACCCGGGGCGCATGCTGCAACCATGCTCTGGGTCTGCCTCCAGGCATCTCCATGCCAAAGCGATCCAAATCGTTGTCATTATCGTTCCTTGTTGTCCCTGTGAAGCTGGCAAGTCTTGTCATCTTCTAAAAACGCCCTGGCACATTTCTGTGTGGCTGGTGGGGAGCGATGGTGAGTTGCTTACGAAATTGTTTGTTTCACACTTTCAAGGTTAAAAGGTGACCGGAAGCGCGTGAAGCACACCGCTTCGCAAAAATGTGTCGAAGGATAAGGTTGCAGTGTGGTTAGCTGACCACAGCAGCAGCCACGGTGTTGCATGGTGTTGCACAGTGTCATGTTTGAAACTCAACTTTTCATCCCCGAATAGCTCTGCTTGCCCACACGTAGCACCCGCAGCTCCTGGCTTACCGTATTGTTTAGAGGTTTAAAGGCATGAAACTCAGCAATGTAGGATCTGGGGCACCCCTTGTACACAAGCGTGAGTCTGACAGTTGTAGAATGTTGTAGATTTGGGCATGCAACTCATACATGAGTCAATGCGCATATCCGGCATGTTTGGCTGGAACAATCTTTCCCGTTTGGCCACCCAGAAGCGCTTTCGTCACTTTAGATCACTTTAGTAACCTTAGTCGCTCAAGTTTGGAGTAGCTCGGCGCAGTCACGATGCTAGCGCAGAGCATCACAGAGCTGTGCCTGTGCAATCGTGGCAAAGATCTGGCCAGGTGGCAACGTCCAGGTTCTTGGGAGATGCCGCAGCCCGCGAATGGCAGAAACACGAGCCAAGGCAGCTCTAGGCTGTAGACCGCGGCGTGATCTCACGACTGCATATCGC